ACCTAGGTTGTAGTTCATTGGTTCTTAAATTAGTTTTTATTGGTGTTATTTTGGCTTAGTTAGTAGTAGTTAATTTTTATTTTCATTTTACATTTAGTTTTAATCACTAGTTCTTTAATTTGCTTGAATTTATTTGTTTAATTAAGGCATAGTTATTAGGATTACATGATAACTTACAAATTTCTGTGGGATCGACCCTTGCTTTTGCACACTATACTACGATAGCTATTCGTGCACTTGTGAGGAAGTAAAATTGTTCATCATCTCTCGTTTCTAAGGTGTTACTGCGGCCATTCGAAATAACCTAGTGTTTTCATCAACTAAACTAGCTAGTGGCGTATAGCCTAGTCTAGTAACGAAAACCCAGCAAGACGATCTTAAAGACAATAACCAATCTATACCCGGACAAGGCTACAAATCAATTATTCCATACCCAATCTTGTCTCATACAATCAATCAACTAACATCAAAGTTGATTAGGCCCTAACATCAACTAAAGATTGAATTAAATGCAATGAATGAATCTAGAACATAATAGAATTGATCAAACAAATAGAATAACAATAAAACACAAGCATTCAATTAGATTACATCAAATCCCTAAAAAAAAAAATACAACATAAAGGAAAATATACAACAACACCTGGAACCATAATCATGAAGAACAAAGGAGGAGGAGAGGAAGAGAACCTTTTCTCCTCTCCAAGCTCTACCTTTCCAAGAAGCCCCAAATGTATTCTCTCCCTAAAATTTGTATGTAAAACCTAAAACTCTCTAAAAACGGACTAAAGTTGCCTTTATATAGTTTTTAGACAAAATGAAAAACATGTAAATACTGGTCGCTAAAATTAGGGTTGGAAATAAGACATTTTTACATTCTGCACAATTTGCACTGATTTGCGTCACGGCTCATTTGACCTGCGCCCCGCCTCATTTTAATTGCACCCCGGCTCGTTTATGCTGCGACTCAGTTTAATTGAGCCATGGCGCAGTTCGTCGACATTGTGCTGCAGCTCAGAAAATTGTGCTACGGTGCAAAGTCGGAATTTCACACTCTTCTTCTCGCCTTGATTCATCAGCACTCAAACGAGTTCAGGATGTCCGAGCACCAGCACAAGCACAAGCACAAATAATCCATTCTTTTGCACCTGAATACCTGAAAACACATACAACGCCCGTGATTCTGGAAGATAACGAAACTTGCAAGAAATGTCATCATAAATCATACATTAAACCTTAAATTCCTTACAGTTTCACCTCCAAATCACTTAATAAATTTGTATTTCCAACACTCAACATGGTTTTATTTCCCCTCAATTATCTTCTCTCTTCTTTTAGTTTATTTTATAATACGTTATCAGCATGAGTCTCTAACCATATCAACTTGTCAAGGGAAAAAGAAAGATCATCATTATTATTTACAATATCAAGCGCTATATTGTATGAAAATATTGTCGACAATTATTTCTTTTCAATTCCATATTTTTCTTGTAGAGACATAATTTGTTGAGGAATGTAGGTAGAGAGAAGATTGGCCAAAATGGAAAGACGCAATCAAGGTGGAACTGAATTCAATAGAAAAAGGTGGAGTTTTTGGACTTGTAGTCCAAACACCTAAAGATGTAATGCCAATGGGCTACAAATGGGTATTTGTGTGAAAACGAAATGAGAAAAATGCAATCGTAAGATATAAAAGCATGACTTATAGTCAAAAGGTTTTCGCAAAGACCTAGCATTGATTATGAAGAAACATATTCTTATGTGATAGATGCAACAACATTTTGATTTCTTATTAGTTTGGCAATAAATAAAACCCTTGATATGCGTCTAATGGATGTAGTTATAGCCTATTTATATGAATCACTTGATAATGACATATATATGAAAATCCCTTAAGGATTTATAAAATGCCTGAAGCATGTAACTCAAATTCTTGAGAATTTTATTCAATTAAATTGCATAAATCATTATATGGATTAAAGCAATCAGGTCGTATGTGGTATAATTGTTTTAGTGAATATTTGTTGAAAGAAGGTTATAAAAATAACTCTATTTGCCCATGTGTTTTCATAAAAAAATTTGGATATGAATTTGTTATAATTACTATATATATTGATAACTTGAATATTATTGGAACTCCTGAAGAGATTCAAAGGGCAGTAGATTAACTAAAAATGGAACTTGAGATGAAAGACCTTGGAAAAACAAAATTTTGTCTCAGTTTGCAAATTGAGCACTTAATGAGTGGAATTTTTGTGCACCAATCAAATTATACCGAGAAAATCTTAAAACAATTTTATATGGATAAATCACATCCATTGACTACCCCAATGGTTGCAAAATCACTTTATGTGAACAAAGATCCTTTTCGGCCATTAGAAGATAAAGAAGAGGTACTTGGTCCTGAAGTGTCATACCTAAGTGCAATAGGTGCATTAATGTATCTTGTTAACAATACATGACCAGAAATAGCATTTTCAGTAAATTTGTTAGCAAGATATATGATGCCGAAACAATAAAGAGAGAGATGACTGAACGTAAGAAAATAAGGATACACTAAACCACCACCGAATGTATCAAGTCCGAATACTGGATTGGATAAAACAACCACAAAAGGCTGGATTGTTTAAGATAACCACAAAAGGTTCTCAATCATTCATTCAAAAATATATTCAACTCCCTTTCCAAGGTTACAAAGACTCTTATTTATACTATAATTATCCTTAACTAACTAAGAAAGGAATAAACCTAAATTGGAAACAAACCTTATTCTAATATGGAAAATACCTAAAACAAGAAATTTAATTTAATTAGGACTATTATAATAAAATAAGAAAACATAAATATAAGGAAATAATAAAATTTCTTTCGTAAAGAATTTTAATAATATATTCCCTGCATCAATATAGTTTTCTTCCGACACGAAGACATTGGAATGGAATTAAGCATATATTCTGATATCTTCAAGGAGCAATATAGATGGGTTTATTTTATTCAAATGAATCTACACCTCAATTAATTGGTTATGTAGATGCAAGATATTGATCTAACCCACATAAAGCTAGATCTCAAACAGGCCATTTGTTCACATATGGAGGTACGACTATTTCATGGCGTTTTACGAAACAAACTATAGCTACTTCTTTAAACCATGCCAAGATAATAGCTATCCATGAAGCAAGCTGGGAATGTGTTTGGCTCAGATCAAGAACCCAACATATTCAAGAATCATGTGGCATTGATCACAACAAAGAAGTTCCTATAACATTATATGAAGATAATATTGCATGCATAGTTTAGTTAAAGGGAGGTTATATCAAAGGTGATAGGATGAAACATATATCACCAAAATTCTTCTTCACTCATGATCTTCAAAAGAATGGCGATATTGAAGTTAAACAGATTCAGTCATGTGATAATTTGTGGACTTATTCACTAAAACTTTACCAACTGCAACATTTGAAAAGTTGGTATACAATATTGGAATGCGTCGGTACAAAAATCTTAAGTGATATCATCATGAGGGGGAGTAAATACGCACTGTACTCTTTTTCCCTTGACCAAGGTTTTATCTTACTGGGTTTTCCTGGTAATGTTTTTAATGAGATGGTTTCTAAATGCGTATAATGCACAAGAATATTGTACTCTTTTTCCTTCACTAGGTATATTGGATTTTTTCCTAGTAATGTTTTAACGAGGCATATTCTTTGTGTAATAGACATCTAAGGGGGAGTGTTATGAATAAATGTGGTTGTCCTTTGCAATTCTATAACTTCCCAATCTTTTATCTTCTCTAACTATTGAACATTTCAAGTTCTACAACTTCAAAGCATTTTATTAGCTTTTAATTTCATAATCTTGGGACTATAAATTGATGTACTGTGAAAGATGATGTACACTCAAATTTGGAATTGAAAAGCACTGGTTCTATCTCCCCTCAATTAACTTCTCTCTTCTTTTAGTTTATTTTATAATATTTATTTATTTATTATTATTATTATTATTATTTATGGAGGAAGATAGAGTTCAATCAAATTTGAGAATTAAAAGGGATTTTTTTTTTTTTTTTAAAGTTTAAATTGTATCCTTAATTTCTATCGATCACCAAAACAATCTCTTTTCTGAAACATATATTTTCAATATACATTTTCGTAGAACTACAATTGCTTATGCTAGTGTGTGTAAATATTTGTGAAGATTTTTTCCTTTTTAAGTTGTTTATAGTTCTCAGTTTGAATAACTATAATTGTGACTCAAGTACAAAATAAATTGAGTGAAAAAAAAAAAAAAAAATGAAGCACAGTTATGGAATTTGTGATGTATTATTAGAACAAAGGTAATTCAAAATTCTTAAATGGGGAGTATTTTGAAATGCGGTTTTATTAGTTTAAAACTTCTTAATAAATTGCCTTCAATTGTTTTTTTCTTCTTGAAACACAATTTTAGATGTTCAATTTGAGAAGTGACAAGAACTTAAAATAATAGAAACAATCTTCATAAATAATTTACACCATTATAGAAATCAAGTCTAAATAGAATTTTATAAAGAAGAAATTAAATATAAATTTAGTAATATAATTTTTAAGGATAAATTTGTAATTAAAAAAAAAGACTTTCTAGTTCATGAATAGGGCCAATAGAACCACTCTAAATAGAATTTTCAATTTTGTTAAGTAAATCTATCTACTAACATCTTCATTATATTATGATACAAATTTTATATAAATATCATTAAATTATATCATAATTGGTACTTAAGAAAAGAAAACTCTCAATCTTAACCTACTAAAGATTTTTTTTTAACTAAAAATAAAAAGTTAGATTTTAAAAGATATTTCCTTTAAAGAATAAATAAATTTCTTAAATGTTTTTAATAAATATATCTTAAAACAAGAAAAAAAATAAATTATAAACTTAAAAAACTTGGATTTATAACTATAATAGGTGAGTTAGAGTTATGGTAATAGTAGTATAGAAGAAAGTTCCTGGGCGACGGCGAAGCGGCAACCCCATCTTTCCCAACTCAACTCTTCAATCTCACCCCTTTCTTCTTCTTCTTTTTTTTTTTTTTTTTTTTCCTTTCATTTTCATTCGGGGTTGCTCATCTCTTTCTTTCAATCGCTCTCTCCGCTCTTTATTCAAATTGTTTTTAAATTCTTGATAATAAATTAATCTCTGCAACGCATCTTTACATACATACATAACATAATTTGTACTTAAGAGGAACAAAAGAAAAGCCAAAAGAAAAATAAAAATAAAAAAATATGTCGAAGAAGAAGGCATTCACTGGCAACACTATGACTCTCAAAGACTTTCATGGAGGCTCTATTCCCTCTGATCTTCCGCTCCCTTCGGCTCCTGGTGTGTAAGTCCCAATTCCCTTTTCTTATTTCATTTTACTACCTTTAGATTCTATCTATATTGTATTCATAATTAGTTTAATTCTAGATCTGCTCCTGCTTACTTAGAAAACCCTATTTCTTCTTTTTTTTTTTTTTTGTTTTGTTGTTTTTTGTTTGTTTTATTACACAGTATTGTTAGGCCTATGGATCGTTCTGGTTATGATCGACCCACATCATGGGCTAACCCTATGGCCAGGCCTGATCATCGCCCCCGCCCCAATTCTTCTCCGGCAACTAGGCATTTTGATGATAAAACCCCCTTTCTTGCTAATGCCGTGCACATTGGTCGAAATTTCGATGAGGATGAGAGAAAACCCTTAGATGGGGTTTCGGCTCCACGTAGAACTGTTAGTGATGAGAGTTTTTGCGTTCCACCTAGTCGTGTGGAGCTTAAGCCAGAGTCTGTGTCTACTGGAAAGGCGTCAGGTTGGACCGGACTGGGATTGGAGTCACAGGTTTCGAATGGCGCAGTGAATTCTTATGCCGGTCGAGTAGTTGAGCACACTTATGTTGGTGTGAATTCACCAAATTCAAGAGGCAATAGTAGGCAGGTGGTTTCTGGGTCGTATCCAAATGCTTGGACTGCAAGGAAGGAGGTGGCAGTGGGTGTTACGGAGCCTGTGCAATCTGGATGGTCTGGGCAAAGTGCAGTTTCAAAGTTGGCTCATGCAAGTGCGCTTGAAAAGGTTTCTTCAGGTAGATGGCAATCTAAGCAGTCGGTTCAGTATCAAGCAGATGTTCAGGTTATTAAATTTTCAGAAGCAGATAATGGATTACATCCAAAGGGTCATGATGATAATGCCTACAACAGGATGCATGTTGTGGGTGGGAGGGAATTGTCAGATGCAACATTGGCCGGGCATGTGGAAAGAGGTTTGAATATTGAAGAATCTGTAGAGGGTGCTAGAAAGGAAGAATGGGATTATGAGAGGATTGCTGCTTCTACTTATGTGGAAGTAAAAGAGAGGAAATATAAACATTATACTGACTGGGTTCAATCTAATCTTTCTGATAGCAAATTTGTTGGGTCTGAATCACTTCCTGTGCTGCATTCAGAAGCATCGGAACGGCCTAAGCTGAAGTTACTTCCAAGAACAAGGCCATTGGAGAATTTGGAACCATATGTAACCAATCCTATGCAGGTCTCAATTTAAATGTCATATGAGGATCCTTTCTTATTTGTATGAAGTTTGTATTGCGTTCACTTCACTTGACATATATTGTCTTGTTGAACACAGGTGCATCCTCGTTCGAGTGAATCTGATCATGGTCATGTTGAAACCGTTAACAGTTTGCATGGCAACCTGAATCCTACAAAACCTGATTTCGCTGGCACTGATGTTGGGAGCCATGCAATAGAGCGCCCAAAGTTAAGTTTAAAGCCACGGTCGCAACCTCCTGAGCAATTAGAAGAGAACATTGAAAGGGGAAGGTCAGTTATGTTTTTTGAAATTTTTTTAGTTGTACTTGTATTATCTATTTTTTGTTACAAGATGATGAATAGAGAGAATATCTTAAAAATATATGTTTAAATTTTTGCCAGTATAATAATTTTGAATGAGGATTTGTGCTTGGAATTGACTGATGTAGACATTAACTTGATTCTAATTCCCCTCCCTCCCCACTTCAGTTAGATGGGTGTGCTTCATATAGTTGATGGCTGAGAATGGTTACTGTACCACAAACAGAACGCTAATTATGTCTTTTACTTTCCTGAACTATTGGTTTTGTTAGTATGGATAACTTGTGCTGCTTTTGCAATAATTATCTTTTATTTCGTTGTGGAATATTTGCTTTTATCTAGGGCTAAGACCTTATATCTAGTTTTTTCCCTTTTATTTGGCATTTTTTTGTTAAACTTGTATTCGCTTTGCTGTATTATACTTTAGCAGTGGGTATTACAGTTTCTCCTTTGCATTATCTGAACTTTTAAATTTTGTATTTTTAAGTAGAATGTACTTATTTAAATTTTGTATTGTTTAGTAGAAAATACTTAGTTGTGCCATTAATATAAAAAATGATGGTGATTGTTTCTTGTTTTTAATGCCTTCTTATTTTTTCCATTTATGGATGTAAATATTGTATAATAATGTACTATGGATAATTTGCTTACCAGTCATGCACATATGATTCCCATCGTTTTATATACCTACCAAGAATTTTTGAATGGACTTGCTATATATATATATATGGTCTTTATCCCTCAAAATCAGTAGACTTGGATTTTCATTCTTCTCTTTAGCTTCTTGGGAGAATTGTCTATTTTCTGCTTGCATTTCTTACTGCTATGTGCATTTTAGCAACCTGGTGGGCAGAAAAATTGATGCACTTTTGGATATTTTTCATTTATATTCAAATCATTTATGGTGCTCTTGATGTTTAGGGTTTAAAACTTTTCATAGATCAAATAAAAAGATTATTTTGGAAACGTTTTCAATGGTCCTTAAACCTTATAGGAATCAAATAGATACATGTGGTTCTCTCTTTCCCTCCCATGGTCTTGGTTAATAATGTAAATAGTTGATGTTTTGTTTCTTAATGAAGGTTGTAGGGTGAAAATTATGCCAATAGAGCAAACATACTTTAGAGAAAAAATTTGGGAATGCCTAATTATTAAGGAGAATGCTACTGTTTTGGATGAGATGATTCTTTGTATACTGTTTAATAGGTTTTAATCTGTGCTTCAAGTCTGGTCCTTATTTCAGCAGGCTCAGCTGCAGTTATCTTGCTATGATTGATTTTGCCATTATTGAGGTGGATATTTTTTAGTAAACAAATTGTTTACTGTTGAGGATAGAAATTTATTAAACTTTTTAAAGAAAATATTCTGAAATGTCAGAGTAAATGTTTGAAACTCATTTATTTTATTGAAGCGATGGGCAACAGTGCTGTGGATAATAATATTTTTAGCTTAGAATGTATAAAAATTGTGTACAGTTTCATCAACTATTTTTTTTATCTGCCAAATTCTTTTGGATAATATCTATCATTAGGATGGACTTCAATTTCCTTTCGGTATATTTTACCCTGTTTTGGTTTTGTTTCTAATTTCTTTTATCTATGTTTGTCTTGAAAATTTTTTTATGATGCTTCCTATTTGCTTGTTGCTAAAATATGCCCTTGAATGGTTTCTTAATGTTGTCTTATTTTATTGGATATTTGGCCTTACTTATGATATTTGGGAACAACTGCTTATAAATCTGTTTTTGGTGCAGAAATGCATTGTTTGGTGGTGCTCGCCCTCGTGAACTGGTGAGTGGATATATTTGTGTACTAATTGGAAAATCTATGGTTGATTCTTTGTACCGTTTGAATTTCCTTCATTGATCTTGATGTAGGATAGGAAGGAGAAAGAGAGAAAGTGAGAAAGGGAAAGAACAAAGAGAAGAAAATATGAAATAGAGCAGAAAAAGTAGAGATTAGAGAACATAATAGTGATTGGGCAAAAATAGAGATATAATTTTTATTCTTGAAACTAGCTACTTCATCATTAACATAGAGCCTATTAATATGCTTAGCATGAGATGATAATTATGAAATAATCCAATGAAATATTAAGCTCTATGATAAACAAGATAATCTTATTCTAAGAGGACCTTAATCTATACAATTTGAAATCCTAAGGTAAGCTTAATCAAGATAAACCTTATTCCTAAAATATTAGTTCCTAAACTTTTTACTAGATAAGCCTCATTATATTTGCTTCATTCTCCTCTACTGAGGAAAAAATGATTTCTCATTAGTTAAGCTTTGGAATTACGTATAGGTGTCAAATCAAACTAGGAAGTACCAATCTCTTCCTTATGACAACTTTACTGGAAAGGAGGCTAAACCGGAACCTTGTCTTTTAATATTTTAGTAAATGTCTAATTAGGATAATAAGTAGGTTTTTTAGTTTAGTTATATCATTAGAAGTTTTTTTGGCCATTATAAATAGAGTTTGATGTACTTTACCTTTAAAAATCAATGAATATGCTTGTATAAAGTTGGGACTTGCTTATTTCTCTCATTTCTCTTCCCTCTTTCCATTCAGCTTGTTGTATTGCTTTTCTATCTTTACTCCTCTTTTATCTCTATATAATATATATTTTGTTTCCCTTATTTCTATTATTCACTTTTTCTCATTTTTCCTTTAAAATTATTTTATGCTCTATTGTACTTATGTTCTTCGGTTCTAATTCTTTTCAATTCTATTCTGGCATATTTCCTTCTAAATATATTGTTTATTGTCTCTTTTCTTTCCCTTTCGCTCTTTATTTGCGCTTTGCTGCTTACTATCCTTCATCAATTTAAAATGAGGTAGAGAAATAAAGATGGGGATAGAAGAAATAATCATAGAATTTTATTTATCAAACAAGCTACTTCCATCGCTAAGGTAAAGACTAAATAGGTTTATCATGAGATGATAAGAGTTAATAACACAAAACATACACTTATTTAGATTTGATGAAATAACATGCGGACATAAAGTAATCTTGTTTGGATGATTATATTCCCTGTCTTCTTCTCAAAACCATTCAACTGCTTTCTTTCTTTTCTTTAGATCAAACTTATTTCATCTCCAAACTCAAACTGCCATCATCTCATCCTTCTTCACCACTTCATTACTATCATTAAAATTCTTCTTTCCCTATGATTGTCATGCCCAAAACCCAGTCAACCTGCTTACCTTAAACTCATAGAACCTTGATACATTTTTGTTTTTAGATGTTTCAGCATGATTAAAAGCTTCTTGTTTTGGAGAAAATCAACAAGTGGTTGCTAGATCCACTGGGATGCTAGGGTGATGTAGTTATAAACTATAGCTCCATAGTAAATGTAGCTGGCATGAACTACATGTGAGTTGCGAATTCCAGATTTTAGCAAGTTTTTATTCACTATGTTTTTGCAAAAAAAATTCTTCTTATGTCTAATAAAATAAACAAGATTAAGAATTTTGGCACACTTCCTCCTTAAGCTCCTTTGCGTAGCCATAAATATTGTGGGGATCAAAGGTGTCTTAAGCATGCTATCTTCCTTGAACTTCTTGGCCCAATTAAACTTATGGCACTTGGCACCAATATTGTACTTCCCTTGAGTCTCCATAAGCGTAAAACCAAAAGGTGAAGGTTTTAATGTTACAAGAAATCATAAATATATGTAGTCACATGGTGGAAAGCTATGCAATGGTTGAATATATACAAAAATAGCACTTGGTTGTTAATAAGTTCCATTAATTGGAAGTGTTTATTTCCCAATGTTTTGTATCTGCAAGTTATTTCATCAAATCATAGGAGTTTTATGTAATATTAACCCGAGAAGATATATGGAATCAAGGTTTAAAACCCGGTCCGGCCCGGCAGGTTGAACTGGTTCAACCAGGACTCGGCCACTAGGCCGGGCTGATTTGACATAAAACCCGGATAATTGAATTCGCCCGGTATGACCCGCGGTTGGACCGGGTTACTGTATCAACCCGCTGGTCCAATCGGTTTTGGGAAAGAACCAGGTCACTCTAACTCCCTTCTTAAATGCGATTTTTTAAACGGTTTTGCCAATTTTTCATTCTTTCAAGCCCTAACCCATATTTGCACTCTTCCATTTATCTATTTCTTCATTTCTTCGTCGATTTTTTCGTTTCATCTCTTAGCTTTTTCATTTCCACTTCAGCGACAGCTTTTGTTTCATCTTCATTTCTTCTCATCTTCGGTAGCAGTTCCAATCACCGTCGGAGGTACTGTCATTTCATCTTTTTTCGATTGATTACTTATGAGGAGAAGCATGGAGTAGAGAAGGAGACTACTGGAAGAGTGGAAGTAACTTCCAAAAGTGATTCTTTCTCCCATAGAAGATGACTGTTCAAGTCAAACAAATAGCACCCATCAAAATCAAAATAAAAAACACAAGAACAAGAAGAAGAAAAAGAGCAATACCCATTACCCAGATAAGAAACCATGAAAAAAAGAAGGAAAAGACTTACTTGGGCGATGAAGAAAAAGAAGGGTGGGGGTGGGGGGCGCGCAGGTAGATGTCTCTTTGTCTCTCTGGCCCTCTCTCTTTGTCTCTTTTTTAATTTTTATTTGGTGGAAGCGTGTAGAGAAGGCATATACATATATATTTTTTTTTTACCTTAATCTATCCTCTACTTTCGAAAGATTTTGGGTGGGTACAGCCTGTGCTATTTTATTCTTCCTAGTATGTTTCAAGTCCCAATATATATCCTATTTAATTATTCTTTAAAATCAATAATTAGATTTCTTTTTTTTTTTTAACTTCTTTTTTCTTGTTGATTTTTCTGGAATTTTCTTTTTTTTTTTTTTTTTTAAAAAAAAATTTTCCCTTAATTTTTTTTAACTTCTTTTTTCTTGTTGATTTTTCTGGAATTTTTTTTGGATATCATCATGCTGATGTCATCACTGGTTGAACCGGTTGACCCGGGACTCGGCCACTTTGTCGGGTTGCACCCAGGGTTGGTTTTTAAAACATTGTATGGAATAACCTAATAAAAATCCTAAACCTTAGGTCCTCTCAATTTAGTAGACACGTTTAGGCTTGAAGCAAACAATATATACTCAATTGACCCAAGTTTGTAACAATTTGTATTAGAGGAGGCTTGCAACCCAACGGTGCGATGTGACACGACCTCATGAGTATGCAAGCTCATTAAGGTGGTGAGTTTATCACATGTCGCATTGTTAGAGGATGAGATGCCCAGATTAGTTTATTAGCCTTGGGTTCTCTCTGACTAGGTAGATGTATTTTGGGTGAGGGATTCTTCTGTGAAGCCCAAAAGCAATTACATGTGGACTAGACCCAAAATTGACAATATTTACTTAGTTGGACTCAAGCTGTTACAATATAAATATATATTTTCTTATTCTATTAGGCGATATATATAATTAGAAGTTATATTAGATGAGGAAAACCCTAAGTATATACATATTTGTTTTTGGGCTTTATGTAATCATCATTTTCTCAAGTTGCACGTACTTAAGTGAGAGGCCGCAATGATTATAATTAAACTAATTAACTCATTTGCTTGTGATGTGGGTCTGACACTAACAATTTCGATCATCATTTGCATTATTTGGAACAATGTTGAAATCAAAAAGTACGGATGGAGAAGAAATTCACTTGTTAAATCGAGTAGTCAAGTCTTCTGCAGTTCATGAGAATTATGCACAACAAAGAAGTCTTTTTTAAATATCTTAAGAAATATTTAATTAGATTTGAACAAGTTAATTCTTTAGTTTTTGTTTAGTCATCATAAATTTACGTTAGGTTTATTTATCTTATTTCATAAGATTTATTTAGATGGGGCATTGGGGCTTACTTTGGCCAACATAAGTAGGGCTTGTTTTATTCTTTTTAATCAACGAGTATGAATGAATAAAAACAATTGAACCTTCATCTTGATTCTTTTCTCTTCTTTCCACTCCTTTTATATCTTTCTCTATGTCTTCTCTCATCTATTTCTAACTTTCTCTGTACTTCTAATTCTTTTCCCCTTTAGTTTCTACCCTCTGCCCCTCTTGACTTTTTTTTTTTTTTTTTATATTCTCTATTCTTGTGTCTATCTCTATAATATCTATTATTTTCACTTCTCTCTTTATTTTTTTCTCTTCTAAATTTTGTTATTTTTCGTAAATGTCGTAGAAATGGTGTATTTCGAAAAAGCTTAGGAAAATATATTTTAGGATAAAGCTTATCTAGATTATGTTTATCCGAAGATTTTATATGTTATGATTAGGCTTACCTTAGAATTATGTATCTTTATTATGTTTACCTTAGAGCTAAGGATTTCTATTGGATGATTTCTTATTGATCTTCTCTATAGACTTTATGTTAATAATGGAAGTAGCTTGTTTGAAGAATAAAAATCTTAAGCTCAAATATGAAAATAATCAACAGAAAATTAACTTTAAAAATCAGCCCAATCATGAAAAACCAAAATCCTAAGATAACATAAACGTAATTAAATTTGACGTGTGGCAATAAATAGAAAGGACGGAATTTAGAAGAAAATAAAGAGAATCAGACAAAAGAATAGATATTAGAGAGAATGGAATAGAAGAATAGAGATAGAAATGGTTGTCATTTTTGTTGGGTTGTCTCGAAGAATAGAGATAAAAAAGATGAGAGAAAGGTAGAGGTTAGAAACCAGCATACAGAAGTAAAAGTGAAAGGAGTGGATGTTGGATATAGATTTAGAAGTAAGAAATAGAGAAGAAAGAAGACATAGGAAAAATAGAGAGAGGGCAGGGGGTAGAGAAAGAAGAAAGAAGAAAGAGATGATTAAGACCAAGAATAAATTATTTTGTTCATTTGTATTCTTTGCTTGATAAGAATACATGAAGCCCTTTTTTACATTTGCTAAAAAGTAATCTAGATAAATCTTATCAAGTGAGGAAAACAAATTTTAACCCCAACTTAATAATATCTAATTAAATAGTTGTGAAGATACTTAAAGTAACACTTCTTGTATTTTCATTATTAATAATATCTAATAGAAATTGGGTTTAAAAGAATGGGGAGAAGATAAAGAAATAGGGCATCAAAGTAGAGATTAAAGAACAAAAAAGTTGAGAGATTAGTAGAAAATAATGGTATAAATTTTATTCATCGAATAAGCTTCTATCATTAACATAAAAGTCTAGGGATATGCTTCCTAATTCTTAGGATAATCATGATTATAACAAATATAAATTCTAAGATAAACATAATCAAGACAAATTTTGACTAAATTTGAATTTCCTAAACTTTTCGAAAATAAGCCTAATTATTTTTGCATTAAACACATGTGATGCTAAGATTTTGCTTTGAATTTTTGGTAGTAGCTCCATAATAAAAAATTGTTTGTGATTGTTCCAGATGAAATGAAATAAAAGACAAAATGAACGCATTTTTCTTTTCTTTTTCTTTTTCTTTTTCTTTTTTGTGAATCAATCCTTTTTAATAATTTTGAAAAACATGAAACGAATTCATAAAAGAACACACCCTCTCTTTATCCCTTCACATGTTGGGGAGAAAATAATTTATAAAGTGTTCATTATGTCTTCACAATGTTGTTGTCTTTGTGCCAATGTCATAATGCAACATTAAAGATTTTAGCCCTCACCCGCCCTCCAATAAGGGAAAAAGAGAGAAAATGCACAAGTGTGAGCCATTTGTGAATATTACCACCTTTAATTCTTTTCTGCAACTGTTTTTGGTTACTTAATATATGAAGTCTGATGGCTTTGCTAATTTCTTTCTCAGGTTTTGAAGGAGCGAGGTTTTGATAATGTTGCCATCAACAATCATGATTTGGGTCAACATTCTGATAGGTATTTACTTCCTCTACAGATGATGTTTTAGGACAGTTATATTTCCATATTTTATATCTAAAATGACTATTGAAGATTTTGAATTACTTCTGTTGAAAAATTGCATCATTTCTTACAAAGTTATTTAATTGTTATGTTTTAGGGTCAAACATAATGTTGCCAAGTTTGAACGGGCTCCTGAGCATGCTAATCCTACTCGCCAAAGTGAAAAAGCTGAAAATACTCTTCTTGATCAGAGGATGGGTAGGAAACTTGAGCGAAAGGATCCTCAGATAGATGTTGACAGAGTTGATATGCAGAGGCGTAATTGGCGAAATGAGAATCGAAGGAACAAAAGGGGGGTTGAAAGGGAGCAACAACATGAGAGACATTCTTCACCAGAAACGTGGCGCAAGCCAGTGGAGCAGCCCAGACCATCGTCTACTGATGCAGTTGGTGTGCGCTATGGAAAAGTAGCGTCAGCTGTAGAGCTTGCTCAAGCATTTTCGAGATCGTTCTCAGATCCAAAATTAGATGATCGATATTCTGGGCAAAGGGGCCTTACTGGCCGGACTCAAATGCCTTTTTCTCGACTGATGGGTCCAACCCAAAGGGCTCAAATTAATGGCTACTAATTCTAAGTGGTTTGATGGTTAATTGGGCAACCACTTGGTGATAGGAAGATAGGTTTCGAGTGGCCATATTCTCTGAGCATGAATAGATGTCTGCTAAGTTGAAGCTGTGATTATGTCTTGCTGCACTTCAACAGATGAGTTCAACAGACGAGAGTGTTTACACCAAAATTTTCCTAGTTTCTTGGAAGATAAGTTCCAATGAGATCATTTCTATCGTCTAAGGAGAACAATGTCATCTCTTTAGAGCCCCATTTTCTCTTTTATTTTTCCATTTTAATTATTAATAACTTTTCAAGTTTCTAATCTTTACAAGGAGAAAGTGTGCCTGAAATTGAAAATCAAGACCAGTGTAGCATACTGTTATGCTTTCTTGATACAATGGAGTGGTATTTAACTGATGTCCTGCATTCTTTGTGTTCATAATGGTTAAAACTAATTTGAACTTGATTTGATCTCCTATTGTGGGATGTCAACCTGAAACTGCAATTACTGGGGAAATTAGATGAAGTTGGTAGATAGTTTGGAGGCGGGTTCTCGAAGAACCGAGTTTAAAAGTCAGCTTTTGGTAGTGGGTACAAGTGAAAGCATTGAAGTTATGATTCATTCAGAGTCAAAAAGGCGCCAGTTAATCCTTGCTTGTTTGGTGAAGAGACCACAAAATGGCTTATTTATCTTGTGCCATGAAAGGCATCTTGGTCCGTTTCTCTTAATCTCTTTGTGGGATCCAGCATCCACTATAAGAAGCACTTCTGAAGTCAAGCTAGCTATTGCATAAATTGGCGCCATAAGTAACGGAAAAAGCAAAGGAGATTTGGTCAAGTAAAATTACCCTATGATTAAGAAATTATTTGAGCGCACGCACTAAATGATTTGTATTAAGCAAAACATCCCAGCATCACATCACATCACATCACATTACAAAAACTTACGCAATTGATCTTCAGTGCGCAATACAAATAATAGTCCTCCTCATTGCGAAAATTTGGCAGCTTCGTGTTCGAGGAAGGCTCCTCCAATGTCTTTATCGTATTTTACTTGTTTTAAAAATGCTTTCTCTCTTCTTATTCCCTCCGTTGTCTCACTACTAACAAACAACTGTCCCTATATATGCTCTATTGACCTAACAATAACACATCCAAACACATCATCTTCTCCACTCTCATAATATATCAATTAACATTTTTATTCTCCTTCTTGAGCTCTTCCGAAGAGTTTTTCATCGGTTTCAGACACGCAACTTTTTGAGCTCCACTCAACCTGTTTGGCTGCAAAAGGCAAGCTGGTTTCTTAACATTTCTTCGGATTATCAATGGAAGTCTGTTGTGATCTTGAGGTCGACGTTAATGGCGAAGAGACTTTCATGGTGGACAAGGTAGCGTCTGTTATAGTTTGTTTCTCTTTCATAGTTTAGCTTTTTCAGTAGTTTCAGCTATCAAACTGGGCTGATCTTAATTATATATACACAAGAATCCTCAAACTTCGTTAGTTCTCAATATTATCTTTCCAGTTACATTTTTCTTGTTTTTCTTGTTTGGCCATCGTAATATTTTGCATTAAATTTCAATCATCCAGTAACATTTTCTTTTTCTTTTTCTTGTGCTCAATCAATACCTACTCTGTCAAGCATTTAACTTAGAAAAATCTTATACTAGGACTAATGGAAATTTAGTGCTATATATTTGTTAAATTTCTTGTTTTCCGTTAAATATTATTTCCTCTAGTTTTTTCTGCTCCAACCGACAAGAGTGTACTGCATGTACAGCTTCCAGAATTTATTGTTGATTGCAACATCTCACCATAATTTTCTATGATTGCAAAATTTATTCAAAATTCCAGTAATCACTTTGGTGCATTTGAAGCTTTGGTAGATTTCTGTTGTGTATTTGAAATTTTATTTCCCAAGTTTTGAGTCTTTTATGTTTGTATGAACATTTCATAACTATTTTTTGAATTTTGGCAGAGAATTCTTGCATCTTTCTCAGGGAGATTCGGCAAATTGTTCAGTAAATTGAACAGAAATACAAGGAAACTGAAAGTGATATTCAATGACTTTCCAGGAGGCGCAGAGGGTTTTGAACTCATTACAAGGTTTTGCTACAACAGTGGCAAAACAAAGATAACTTCCAGGAACATATTCCTTCTAAGTTCGGCTGCCATTTTCATGGAGATGGGTTGCGATGATGGCTCTAGAAAACCCAATTTGATTGACCAAATTGAAATACCTCTAGAGGAAATTAATTACTGGACTTGGCCAGGGCTCCTGGAAGCTTTAAAGCAGTGCCAAGGTTTACATTCCACAGCAGATTCCTCTTCGTTTATACTTGACAAAGTCTTACATTGTCTAATAGAAAGGCTCGGTTTGCCTAGTGTTTCAAGCCCATGTGCATCTTTCTCGGACAATTCTACTCTTCAGTTTTCACGTGATTTCAGGAATAGCGTTAGCACTAACTACAAACACTCTCAAAAAACTTGGTGGTTTGAAGATCTTTTGTTTCTGAATGTGGATTTATTAGACAAGGTTATTAAGATGATGATTTCCCAGAATTTCGACCACGGTTTAATTTCTAAGTTCCTCTTCTATTATCAGAGATCAAGATTTCTTGGTGCCTCGCCAGCTGAGAAGCGCCATATTACAGCGGTTGTGATTAGTCTACTATCTCTACTTGATAAGAGATCTCATTCTTTCAAGGGCTTGTTTGAAATTTTTCGAGGGGCTTCAAGCTTGAGCATAAGCAAAAACTACAAAAGCAAGTTAGAGAATCTAATAGGTTCACAGCTAGATCAAGCAACACTTGATCATCTGATAATTCGATCGCCGCGTGGGAAGGATTATGCTTATGATGTAAATTTAGTTTTGAGGCTTGTTAAAGCTTTTCTCTCTGAAAATGACAACTGGTTATCCATTAGTCGATTGAACAAAGTTGCCAGCTTAATAGACTCATACCTTGCAGAAGTATCTCCAGATTCCTGTTTAAAGCCTTCCAAATTTGCAGCATTACTGAGAGTGCTGCCTGATTCCACAAGACAATCTCATGATGGACTCTACTGCGCCATGGACATGTATCTTCAGGTAAATTAAGTACAAAGAACTTGAAAGTTTCTTCGTTGGCTGATGGATTCAATTGTTTTGTATTAAATTTAATGCGTGTATAAATAATTCTTTAATGGTTTGTATTTTTGTGTATATATTTTTGTTTCAAACATGAAACATGTGTGCTAACTTTGAGTTTCCCAGCAGGTTCATTCTGGATTATGTAAAGAAGAAAAGTTGAGAGTCTGCAGCACATTGAACTATGAGAAGCTTTCAACGGATGCTTTGAAACACATAGCTCTAAACTCAAGGTTTCCATCAGAAATAGCAGTCAAGTCTTTCATTAATCAGCACTACAAACTCAGAACTTTAGTTCCCAAAACAAAAAGTGTTCTCACTATTAATCATCTGGACGTGAAGGAATATATGGGTGAGAAAGCTGATGCCCGGCATATTTTTATATGCTCAAAACAGCATAATCTTTCAACAGAAACTGAGAAGTTTGAAGCACAGTTTCAAGGAATGAACTGGAAGATGAAGGAATTGGAGAAGGTATGCAGGATAATGCAGACGGAACTGGGAAATATAACAAGAACAAGATTGTCTACTTCAAAGAACGCTAGATATTTACCAAAACTTTGTTCTTGACCCAAAATTCTATGGTTCTTTCTCTGCATTGTATCTAAAAGTGAGTTGTGTATAATATGTAAAGTGAATTAATGAGAATTAAATGAAAACTTATAAATTATTCTTTATCAATAGACGGACAAAATTTCTGCTAATTGAACACTGTTTAAAAGAAGTAGGTGAAGCAAACGCTCAATTGTTTTTCATAAACGATATATCATATATGCTTTCATTGGAAGGCAACATATTTTCATTGCAAAGGTGACGAAGAAGGTGATATAAATATATCCTAAGAATATGCATGGGGCTATTTTCAAGGTTAATGGTGGTTACATAAATAATCAACTTAAAGGGCAAATCGAGACATTGTATTGTGGGCATCTAAGTCCTTATTGCACAAACCGAGAACATTAAATAGGCGTTAAGATGTTTCTAAAGAATATTCGCGGCGAGTGTCCAGTCTACTGACCGCCGACTGCTTCAGCGAGCTATGCGGCTGAGAGCACGCGCAATATTGCGGGGCTCATTACACGGCACCAATGTTAATTTTAGAGCCCCAGTTAATGGAGTTCCATTAATCAATGTATATATTCCTAGTTTTCTACAACAATAGCCATGTCAAACCCACACAAACAAACAAAAACTTCCCATATTGTAACTAATACCAATGGCGTTCAAATCATTAACAAATTATATTTAGTCGAAACTTGATAATATTTAAAAAGTAGACATATTTCCATGAAAGGTGTGGTCAGTGTGCGAGCCTCTAAATGAAAGTTAAATTTTGCAGCTTAGGCTTTAATTTGTTTTGGTGTCTTCTAGGATGTACGGACCAACATCCTTGACATTGAAATTAATTACATGTTTCATAGATAGAAATGCAAACATTTTTGTTAATAGTGATGTATGAGTCTTCCAATTTGTTGGAACCAGGGATCATTACTCAGTTATAAAGTCTACAACTTTTCTTTCGAGGTGTTATATTTTCTCTTGCTTGAATTGGACTTTTATGTCATCTTCATTCAAAACGCAATCTTGAAAATCATCCTTACATGTTTATTTTTAGGAGGGGTTAAGTGCATGTTCACCCTTCAAATTTAGGGAAAATAAGTTTGACCCACTGATATTAACAAGTGATACTGCATATTAAAAACCTTTCTATAAGTAACAATTATCCCTTAGAGCTAGCAGCAATTACATGCTTTAAGCTATTACATGAAAGAAGGGGCAAATATGTTTGACCCACAGGTCTTAACCAGTTTTTAGTTTTTTAAATTTTGGTTTAAAAAATAAAATTTAAATATGTTTTAATAAAAGGAAAAAAAAAGCCGAGGTTTCGGTTTTTATTCGAAATCGGCATTGATAGAGTCGGTTCCAGCTCTCAAAAATTGGAACCGATACTATACGGTTCTTGTTTTGGTATTTACAAAATCTTTAATTTGCTCTTTTTAAATTTGGAATCAAGTAAAACAAGCATCTTGATAGATTTTTATGTAAAGTTGATTATTTCTAAAGTTTGTTCATAAGCGATTAAGGACAAGTTACAACTATCCCAAACTAAGATTAGTTTGTTTTTATCTGTGAAGACTTTAAAAAAAGTGAATGTTTTATATTATGATATTTATTAGTTGTTTGGTTTTACCACTTAAATCTGAGAATCAAGTAAAAATGAATGAAAGAGTGAAACAAAAAGTCAAACTCATTAAATTCACTTTTCTATTCATTTTTTGTCATATCACTGGAGATCTTTGTAAAATTTCTTTGTAAGTGTAGTATTACTCTAAATATATATTATATTTAATATTGACAAGGTTATTTATGTAAAAATACTAGTTTTAAGATATTTTAGATTTGTAAAAATAAACATTTAATACTTGTAATTAGATATTTAAAAATTACAAAAAAAAAATATATATCATAAATATTTTGTTCAGTCTTATTCACTCAGAGTTATTCAACTTCAACACTATATCGTCAATAGATAAGTTACCAAATGCCACCTAAGCTTTAGAATCATTTACAATGAATTAAGAAATTTATTTATTTATTTTTGGTTAATGGCTAAATTGAATCTAATAAAACCCTCCTTTAAAGAAAAATTTTATAGTACGAGAAAAATATCATCTTATCGCTATTTTAAAAGTAAGACATTTGGTTGGAAAGTGTGGTATTAATTTTTGGAGATTAGGTCTTAATTAGTATTGGTTGTATGGACCAACATCCTTCACATTGAAACTATAAAGTTTCTAAAATATAAATGCCAACATTTTTATTAGTCTTCGAATTTATTAGAAACAGGGACCATTAATGCGTTACAAATTAAGTCAACAAGTTTTCTATCGACGTGTAACATTTTTCATATTCAAATCTCTATAAACAAATTTAAACTCCTAAATCCGCACCACTTAGATTTCCTTTTAAGCTTCATTTATTATTTTGATAATTAAAAAATAATATCTTAAATTTAAAATTACTAAAATAGACATTAACCTATTGAAAGAAAAGCAAGATTTGTCTTTCTCAACTAAATGTGTCCATATTCACTCTTTCATTTATTATATATATATATAAATCAGAACTCGAGAAAGCATTCCACGTCTAAAACGTGTCACATCAGGCAAAAAGAATATAGCTGTCAACAACCCAATCGACTCAAGAATTTGCGTCTGAATGAAGTTGGTTTGCATAATTGTCCAAGTCCCATTCAATTTAAGGATATTCTTTGAGTTCTCAACGAATGGGAAGGTAGGAGGGATCTTCACAGCATCAGGCGACTTGCAAAAGTGTAATTATTACCTTGAGCAAAACGAGTATAAATAGACAACTCCCCCTTATAAAATCGAGATCAAACACTCACGCATTCAACAAGGAAAACAGCAAAGACATGTACAAAATGAGCAGCTTCAAGCTTAATAAAATGAGCAGCTTCAAGCTTAATAAAATGAGCATGGAGTGATTGTTGAGGGTTCTCCCTTATCTCCAGAGGTTTTGATAACAACTCTATCGCCAAGATTCAGAATGCTAGACATGAAGACATTTGACGGGAATGCTGACCCTCCGGATCATCTTTATGAGTTTAACCACCTCATGGAGTTTCACCAAGTCTCAAACTTGGCGAAATGTCGCTGCTGGGCATGACCTTGACTCCCAATGCAAAACATTGGTTCAGATCACTTCCACCAAGGTCTATCAACACATGGCAACAGATGAGCTCATTATTCCTAAGACACTTCCAAGCAAATCGGAAGTTCTCAATGCTGCTTAGCTATTTGAGCAACATACGGCAAGAGAAGAATGAGTCTCTCAAGTCTTACATAACAAATTCTACAAGGAACTGAATAAGGTGGCTAACACACCCAAAGATTCAATTTGAACTCTGATTATAGCAGGAGTTCGTCCCCAAACTGATTTGTGGAATAAATTGTAATTGGAAGACAATATTTTCCTTACTCGCTTCTAAAATCTCGTAGAAAAGTATCTGTGAATTGAAAACTCTGTGGCAACTCTAAGTCGCTACGACCTTGGGCCTTCGACCAGCATTCCCAATCGAAGGGATGAATTCCGGGGAAAGAGTAGAAGGAATGATTGCAAATAGGCAAATGAAAATCAGAGGAAAGGAAAGAAACAATGTTTTGAGCCTAATAAGGCTTATGCCCTACTACCTAATGGCTGTTTCAAAAGAAGCCAGCCTGCTAACAGATTTAGAGCCTATGAAGGCACCCTAGTCAAAGAGGAGTGACAAAAAATATTATCGCTTCCATAGGGACATCAGACATCATACCGATGAGTGCCAAACTCTTAAGCAAGCAGTTGAAGACCTCATCCATAAAGTTCATTTCAAGGAGTATGTTGACGGTCCAATTCCCGTGAGGAAAAAAGACCGTGATGATGGGGAAAGATGCAAAGGTCGTAAAGGTCTCTACTTAGTTGGGTCCATCATTGGGGGAACTCACATCGCATAGACCTCTTAGCATATACAAGATTGGTATGCCCGAGAAGCCCGATATAAGCCCTACAATGTTCTCAATCTGGAACAGCAACCACATAAACAACGCAGAGAAGAGGAAATAACCTTTTCTAAAAAAGATGGGAGACAAGTGCATCACCCTCATGTTGTTGCATTAGTCATCGTTGTTGAGATAGGAAAGTGCGAAGTCTACAGAATGTTAGTGGACAATGGGAGTGCCATGAATATCCTATTTTAGAGAGCTTTTGAGGAGATGAAGCTCGAAGACACATACCTGAAGCCACCAAGATGACAGAATTCCTGGTAGTGGATTGTCCCTCCACATTCAATGGTATCATTGGACGACCACTACTGTGGAACTTCAAAGTCGTCACTTCCATCTACCATCAGAAGATGAAATGCCCTACTCTGTCAAGGTGTGGGCAAGTGAGGGGATCACAGCTTAAATCTCGCGACTACTACAATCAAGCATCAAGATTGCATACAAGAGGAAAGGAAAGCCCGAGACAAGCTAAAGCAGTCAATGACGATCAGCTAAATCAAGCCACAGTCTAGCCTAGTGGAGGATTGTAAGTAAATGATTGGATTTGCGCGACAGAAAAATCGTAGATTAAAAACAAATCGATCAATTACTCAATCCCAAAAAATCTGGGTATCAATTATATTGTTTACATATATTATAAAATCTGTATAATATCAAATTAACAGGAAATCCATACAAGGATTCAGATTCACTTACATACGTTTGGAGGCTCCTTCAATGTCTCTAATTCGATTTCACTTCCAATTCAACTTAGAACCGCACAAACGTTGATCCACATGAAGACAATCCAAAGAACCAATCATTGTTTTGCTAGAACAACAAGACGGCTTCAAGAATCAAGAAGAAAGAATTTTTCTTCTCCATTCAATGAAGAAGAACATGAGAGGGACAGTAGGGTAGGTGGCTAGGGTTTTTATTTTATTGAATAACGTTATATGCTTTAATTATAACTTGCACTTATATAGTGCAACAATTAAAAACCCTAATCTACTTAGGAATAGCCATGGACTTCAACCCTAATCCGCCTTTGCAACCAAACACCCCATTAATGGCATTTTAAATGTAATTAATTATTATTATA